AGCCTTACCCCATGTAGAACATTTGAAAGAAATTACGAAAGGTAACAAAGAGTAACCTGATGAAAGTATGTAAGGGGATTGGCATCAGGTTAACTTTATTTATTTTTTTAAAAATTAATCTAGATAATTTTTTAAATTTTGAGTAACGATAGGTAATAAGTGATTTCTCAAGAGAAGCATAAGTAGCAAGGTATTAGTGCGTAAATAGAATCTGGGAGCACAGAGCCATGGAGCTGGTGATAGGTCCTGAAAAGCATAAGTTAGTAGCATGTTACAATAAGATTAAGTGTGAGTGAAGGCACCTCGAATCCTTTGGTAGTAAAACAGTATAGTATGCAGCAAAAAGTAACATAAAATAACATAATGCAATTATATAAGTAGTGAGTAATAAGATTAATATGTAAAAAGCACAAAAACATAAGTTGGCAATAGATAAAGCAATAGAGTTATACACAATGTAAATACAAGCATAAGAGCAAGCAGGAAGTTACATGATCCTGGGGTTGAGTATAGCTAGTGGAAGGTTAATATTAGTGAGATCATTGGGATCATAGTTGGCAACTTTAATAGCAGGATTATTGATGGATTTTTGCTTTTCGTGAAATCTTTTAGCTATCTTGTAGTAGTGAGATCTGAGTAAACTAACCTCCAGTTCCTCGTGAATTCTCTGATTTCTTATGTACCATTGTGAGTTAGCGATTTGCCTGAGAGTGCTAGTTTGTGCAGTTTGAACTTTTTTCCTGCAATTTTTGTTTGAGTAGGCCCATACAGGACAGGCATAACAAAGTAATGGACACAAAATGGATTTATAAATGAGTAACTTGTTATCTATAGATAAAACACTGTTTCAAGCAATTAGGGGAAAGAGTCTAGCTTTGCGAGCTCGAAACTTTTGTAAAATAGCTGTGGTGTGTTGGGTCTATGAGAGAGTTTTAGTGAGGGTCCTACCAAGATAAGGGACTTGCTTGGCCCAGGGGATTGCTTGGATTTTCCCCACGTTTACTTGTATCTTCCACTGAACGAGCCAAGTCTCTAGTAAGTTAATGTAAATTTATAACCGTTGGATGAATGAACCAGCAAATTCACTTTGGGCGAGGATCGCTGTGTCGTCTGCATACATAGCTATTGTTGTGTAATGTGTTGTAGGGATGTCGTTAACATAGATATTGAAGTAAGTGGGCCCTAAAAGGTACCCTTGTGGGACGCCGGCCCTAATGGGACGGGTGTGGAGTTTGTACCACAGATGTGAACGACAAAGTGTCTACCATTCAGATAGGACTTGGTGATGTTTGTGATGTAGTCTGGGAAACCCAGACTGTGTAATTTGTAGATGAGGGCGTCCAGCCACACTCTGACGAAAGCCTTGGCTATATCAATGAAGATTCCATTCTGAGATCCTTCAGAGATGGTTTCAACACCCTGTAGAGTTGGTTGGTAGTTCCCAGCTGCTTCCTGAACCCAAACTGTTGAGGAGCTATTACGTTGCTAGTATCTATCCAGATAGTTGTTGATCCGTCTTAACAGAACAGCTTCTATAATTTTACTCAGTGATGAAAGTAAGCTAATGGGCCTGTAGGAGTCAGGCTGAGATGGAGATTTGCCATGTTTGGGAACAGAAATTACTTTGGCTGTCTTCCAAGGCTTTGGGAAATGGTGCTTGAGTATCACATTGGAGATCTTGGTGAGTAGGAAGATGAAGATCAGTTTGATGGAGAACCTCTTGAACATGGTATTGGTGATGTTGTCCAAGCCAGGGCTTTTCAAAACTGAGTTTCCAGCAGCTTAGCTAAAAGTTCAGCCTTCTCACTTTCAGTGTAGTGGATCCTTTGAGGGCATTTAAGGGGCGACATTAAATACAAAGAAAATTAGGAAAGAAGCGAATATAAGGCAAAGCGAACTTAACTCTTGTTATTGTAAGTATTATTTCTTGCTTCTTCTTCAGTTCCGTTTCCAAACCCCATTAAAAGAACATGAGTTGTTCACCTTTATTTTATAGATCTTTGAGTAAATTAAAAGAAAAATATGAAGTGCAGGGCATAGCCAATAGACAGGAAATAATTTTCGACGTTTCCCAGTGTGAGGAACGTTTTGAGGTCTTCTGAGGGTACAGTCACAACCAAGATGATAAAGTACCTCTTCTTTTATAGACCTGGACATGTCCCGGGACGAAACATATTGTGAGCGGCTTTAAAGATGGGCCAGATGGCAATGTATTTAAAGCACACGATGGATAAGTGATTTTCTTAAGTATCAGTTAAGTATCAGGAAACAACAACTAATATAGAAGAATTTACCTGCACAACTTTTTAAAGACAATGTCTTGCATTCCAATATATGTTTCCCAAAAGGAAGCAGTGCCCTAGTATTTAAAGAAAAATCTCTATGTTAACATATAAAGGTCTTTAGTTTTATTACGGTTAAATTTCGGTTAATCTTTTTTAGAGTTAAAAATGCTGACAATTGTTTTAATTAATCTCATCAGCAATCGTATGCAACTGTTTTTCAGCGATTAGTTTTCTGTCAAATTAACTCCCGTCTACTTTATTTTTGTATTTGAGATTTCTTGTCTACCAAGGAAGAATTGACTATTAACTCAGCAACAAATTTTTGTCCTAAAAGAAGAAATTAATGTTTGAAGTGTCATTTTAAATATTCTCCATCGATTACTATGCAGAGACACTAAGTATTTCTGAAGCTGGAGAGATGAAAAAATGAGCAGTGCCCTCGCCGGGACTCGAACCACGGACCTCTCGAATACGCGTCGAGCGTGCTGACCACTACACCACGAAGACATGGTAAGAAGGCGAAAGAAATACCTTATAACTAGACTAAAATATCACATTAAGAAAGTTTCTTCGTATCACTCTGGAGATATAAAAAATTACATTTAAAGTGTTATCATTCGCTTACGTTACTCAAAACACAACCAGGTAGTTCTGATTTTAATTTTTTTAAAAAATATTAAACATTACGTTGTCCATTGTGTGCCCACATGCTTGGGAGGAGTTTATTGCGTTGCTTTTCTGATGAATTCTTATCTTGAATTTTCGATCAAGAAACCAATTACTGAGAGGACGAACCACAGGTATGAGGTATAAGCAAATGGCTGTAGTATGGCAGTTTTCAGCCATACTCTATCAACAGTTTTCTTGAGACCTAGAAAACAAATACCCACAATTTTCTTTTTATTAAAAGCACCAGGCATATGGAAAAGGAATAATATCCAAAAATAAAAATTCTGGATTTCAAAACGAAATCAAATGAAACATCATCAATACATCCAAAAAAGGAAATTTCTGAATATTTTTGTATTTATATGGTTCTTTAAGTTTTAATTGTTGCTTTCGAGACAATTCACTACAATAAAACATATTATTTGACAGCATCTGTCTTCAGAACCGGACACAAATCCACAACAACCTCCGAAAATTAGACAAGGATCTCTCTTTCGTTACTTAAGACAGCCCCAAACTTAATGTCCTGATGCAATTTGAAAATGATGATGATTAAATAAAGATAATGTATGATAGAGAAATTCACGATAAATGGCCTTGTCTTTGCCTGCAGTCAGTCAAGCTTGGAATCTTCGAAATACCGTTTCATGTACTAACTGTTACGCTACAGAAGCACACGGGAGGAAATGATTACCCTAATTCCTTACCCCTATCTCACTGCCTCGCTCTCACACTTACCCAGATATTGCCTTAATTACTTAGATGGAAAGAATTTCCATCTAAAGTTTGTAGGGATTTTAAATAACAAATTTAATTTAATTTTACTTTCTTTCCTATAAGCCTTTATTCCCCTAATTGTCAATGCCAGAATATTTAGATTTGGTAGCGCGCGTGAAGTAATACAAATTCTACCTTCAGGAAAAAAGTTTTAAATACCGAGTTCTAGAAGGGGAAGTGAGAGAGTTGGGCAATCGCTTTGGCTCTGTAGCCTGAGCTTCTATTTCTGCATTTATTGCTGGTTTACGTGGTATAACAGTTATTAATTTGCTGCCACTAGACTTCGACGCGGTTTTTAGTAACAGAAGTTTCTGAGCCCTGTAGAGTAATTTCTACCTCTTGTTAATATCTTCGAATTTCAGTTTAATTCTTGTTATTTGAGTTACCGCCCGAGTGAGGCGCAGTGTGTTAACGTCGAGTCGACGCATTGTGAATTTTAAAGAGTTTAATAAAGGGTACTTTTAACCCTTCTCCAATGTGGTTTCTACGCTCACTTCAGTTGTCACTTTAGAAGACAGACAAGTTTGAGAGAAGCCTGGTGGTCGATCGATCCTAACTGGATGAATGACTGATTGTTCACTAAGTTTTGTATGAGAACCAGTTATGAAATTGATAGGATCTTTTGGATGGGAGGTATTATTGTAGTATAGCTGTTGTCTTACTTGAAGTGAAACACAGAAACTTCTAGTTAAATGATCGATGCATTAACTGCAACTACAAATATCATATGAGAGAAAAGCTTTCATTCCATAAACGCTCATAACTTTCCAGTAGCTGGCTGATTTAATGCTAAACAACAAGATAACTTTGATAAATTTCTCTAATAGATTAAAGATTTTAAATGTTTAAGACAACCTATAATACATTTTGGGGTCAAACAAATCAAAAACAAGCCTCTGAAAACAGTATTTTGTGGTTGTCAGAGCAATAAGTCGGATGTCAGAAATTCAATACCTTCAGGAGAAAATACTAATATCTAGTCTCCTGAAGAGCACTGAATGTTGGAGGTAATTATGGAACTAGATTGAACATAACGAAATCTGCCAAATTCTTATAAAAGCATTTTTTCCTGCGTTTATTGAAATTTTGAACATGTGGCCTTTTAAACTCTTCCTGGTAAAGAAAGAATAGTAGTTCTTGATACAGATAATAATAGCTCAAGGGTATGAAAGGTTAAGTAAGTTTTGACAAAGGTTGAAATAGGAAAAATCATAACCTTTCTTGTTCTGCGCTATTTCAAAAGAAATGTAATGAAGAGAAACTACCAACCATTCCTATTGTCATCTATGACAGCGTCAAGACTTCTCAGCATGTCGCAATAATCCCTGATTTGTTCGAGAAGACGAAGGACCCTCGCTTCTCTCCGGCCTTTCTTGTCATCAGGCTGGGAGAAAACTATGTTGTGCAGGACTTGGCTTGCCCTCTCCCGTATTTCGAAGTTCACCCTCTTTGCGTGAACCATGTGGTAAGTGTTTGAGTTTTCATCGGGATTATGGAGAAGTTGGATCAAAAGAGGTAAGCAGCCTAGAAATATATAAAAAATTATCGCATTATATTCAATAGTTCTCTCTGAAAAACAAAATGCAGAGTTGAAAACTACAGATATTTTATATTTTCGACAGTATTCAAAATAAAAAAGCATTTCTAAAAAACCTGTTGGGATATCTTCCTGGAGGGATGGCCATCCTATTGTTATTGAACAAAGAAGAACATGAAATAACCAAATCGCATAAAAAACTAAATGGAAAGACTGCTTTCTTTAAGAAGCTATAAGGACATTAAATCATTGCCCGGTTTTTAGCAAAGACATGTATTTTAGACTGCAAGTATTCGCACATCAATAAAAGACTCCAATTCCAGTTCTTAATCGATGAAGAATTCATTCCAGGAGGGAATTGTTAAGTACTTAGTTTTATTTTATGAATATAAAAAACTCCTTTTTTTTTTTCAAGGTTTGATACTTACCAACATTTTCTATGCTTTTCTTGTTTAATAATTTATAAAACATATTTAAAATAATCTAAATTTAAATAAATATATATTTTTAGAATTTGGGAAAGGGGGCAATTATCGTCCAACAGTGAAGAAAGGAAGGCATGAGACAAAAAAGCTTGAGAACCACTGCTCTGGATGAACACGTTTTTTGGGCAAGATACAACACATTACTTTCTCTTATCATTTCTTGCAAATCTTTAAGGTATACACTCTTCCCCGACACACGAAAAAAGAAAAAGGGGAAGAAGAGAGGAGAGGAAAGAAAAAGAGCTAAAAAAGGGTGCCAGGAAACAATCCATGTCAGCAATTCTTCACACTATTTGAAAATATTTTTGATTGGTTGGCCTAAATAAACACAGCAGCGAAGTACACAAGGGGGCTTTCTGCCAAGGAAAGGTTTGCCTTCTTGGAAGACTTTCGAAGGGGAACCCTTTCGTATTTGCGTTACATACGGGGGGGGAATGACGAAAGTAATAGGGGAACCGATAATGTCGCTTTCTTACATTAAATTCAAACGAATACATTCTTAACAAGTTTTTATTTTTAATCAATAATATAATCACCCTCGTTATCGACAACCTTTTGCCATCTAAAGTGCAGATTTTTAATCCCGGACCGATAAAAATCAATTGGTTTTTGAGTAAAATATCTCGAGAGGACATTTTGGACATCATCCAAATTTTCAAATTTTTTGCCACTAAGAAAATGTTGTAGGCATCCGAATAAATGGAAATACAATGCTGCGATATCGGCCGAGCATGGTGGATGAGCATGGCAGTACCTCCCACTCCAATTCATTCATTTTTTCCAGTGTTCGTCTTGCACAGTGCGGTCTTGCATTGTCGTGTTGCAGAATGACGCCTTTTCTGTTGACAATTGATATTTTTCGATTAAAGATTGGTTCAGTCCATCCAATTGTTCACAATAAAGGTCTGCATTAACAGTTTTTCCAGGTTTCAGCAATTCAAAATGAACAATTCCGCGAATACTCCATCAAACATCCAGAAGCTCCTTTTTGGGATGTAAGCCCTTTGCAACATCTATTAAAACTACCTTTTTGAGTTTTGGATTATCATATAGGACTTATTTTTTTTGTCCCCACTAATCAAACGATCAAAAAGCGGTTCTGTATGGTGCCGTTGAAGCAATACGTTGCATGAGATGGATAGGTTGGCTTTGTTCTTTTCGGACAGATTATGGGGGACTCAAACACCTGCTTTGCTTATTTTTCCATTCTGCTTTAAATGTTCTTGGAGGATCGACCAAGGTTGGTTAAGAGTGTTTGACATGGATTTGCGTCCACTTCTGCCCTTAGCATGTTGTTGTCTACATACGCAGAAACGACATTACTTTCCGGTCCCCCTATTATTTATATATTCAGTTTGTTTGGCAGAATTTGAGCCCAGGTCGAGCTACCAGTATTTAGCGGTCTTACGATATTTTAAAATTCAGTTTGTTAGCAAAGAATAAATGCTTTTCTTCTTTTGCAAAATTACGTAATTTCAAATAAAAGTAAATGGCTTTTCTTACATTTACAAGCTCAATTAAATATAGTAAATGATGTTTTCCTTCATTTATAAATTGCTTTAATAAAAAAACAAACAATTTTTTGATATTTTTTCTTTGGTTGAAAAATATACCGCTTGCGTTTAAGTTTATATTAAATAAAATAAAATTATTTTTTGTCCATATTTCGTATTCCAAATTGAGAAAGCTTGATATAATTTCCTGAAGAATTTTATTCTATTTTATTTATTTATTTTTTGTAAAATAAAAATTATAGCTTTCTAGTATTCTATCTGTAACCTGCAAAAATCGAATTCAATTTCTTATATCCGAAATTCACACTCTTTATTTATTCCATTTCTTTTCATTAAATTATTCTTCATTACGCGTGACAAATGCAGTAGTTTTGCATGATTTTCTTCTATTATCTTTCCAAAATTTATTTATTTCCTATCCCTCCCAGTAAACCGTTTGGCTGCATGTTAGTTTTTGTGGTGTTTGTTTCTTATGGGTAACGTGAGAAGCTTTTCTTATTTCCTTAGAAGTTTTTCTTATTTCCTTAGAAGTTAGCCAGTTTCACTTACGAAGGTCCTCCAAGAAGACATCCCGGTGGCTTTAAGTATACAGCCCTCGTGTTCTTTGTTTATCATAACACAAATAATCAGTCTTTCATTTATTTCAGACATGTTCTCAGTAATTTATTCTTTCTGGGGTGAAGCAGTTTTGTAGTATAACTTATTAACTATAATGTTTTGCTTTACGAAATTTTATTTGGATTTGTTTTTGTGTTGCTGGTTAGATCCTTGTTAAGAGCAATAATTCACAATAGGTTAAGATAACTCTACGTATTAGCCACTGTAAATTAATTTCACACTGTTACAGTTATAGTACCATCATAAGTATAATAATTATATTGCAAAAATTAAAAAAACCTATTTCGATCAAGTTTCCGTTTAATAAAATTGGATGAGTGCCATTTCTTATGTCTGTTCTTAAGTAGACACACATAACGACATTCAGATTAAAAAATATTTTCCATTATAGGCGCTAAACAGCTTTCTGTGAAAAGATATATGCACTAACATAATATACTTCCAGCAAGATAATACTTTCATCATAAGCTCATTTCCACTGCTGTAAAAGTTTTCTGAACATAAGAAATATATCTGTGAGGTTAGTTACTTCTATAAATAAAGAATGATACAGTTTGATACACATGAGAAAATCTTTTAATGACGACATTAACTTTGGAAATATGAGTGTTATAAAACAAACGAAAATCACATTTAATTTAACGGGACTAATACGCAACGTATGCAAATAAATCTTTCCGCTGAAAGTTATTTAGCATGTGTTGTCCAATAACGGATAATATCTCATTTTATTCCCTGCGCAAACAAAAAATCTAAAGGCGAATCTCTAAATGCAGTAAAAATAATACGAATAAAGAAAATTTGAAGACTTACCACACTGTCTCATGGCGACGCAGTTTTCAACGGAATTTGACATTGCTAAAAGAATTTTACTGGCTTCTACTTTATTATGAGAGCGTACTTTGCTCAACAGGGAACTAATCAACTCCTCCTATAAGGAAAATAACTCTTTTTAATAATAATGGTAATAAAAATAATCTAAAACGTATTTCGTGTCATTTACATAAGAACACGAAAGCTACTTCTAGATTAAAAGTGGAAGACTTCCCGAAAATACTTAGAAAAACAAACGAAAGTTCATATAATGTATAAACAAATATGTTTCGTATTTTCAGTAACCTGATTCTATTTCTAATGAGTTTGAAATGTCGTTTCTTCAAACCAGGCGGTATTGCCGCCCAAGCTTAAAATGATTAATTTGATTTTAAACTTTCTAAGTAATTAAAAGCTTTTTTTGATTGAAAAATCGTGATGGTCTTATAGGAGACTATGGGAGAAAAGAACACCCAGAAACAGAAAGAGCAGAAACTTCAAACCTGGTTCTCATTTAATACGCCAATTTGTAACAATTATTCGGAAGTTTTATACCAACGGTGAAACTTAAACTAAACTCTGTCCTGTTCTTCTTGGCTGTTCTTACAATATTTGATTAGACTAAAATGTTTTGCAAATTCATTGCCTAATCTTAGCCTTTAGCTACTGGAGACTGGAGACCATCAGTTAAGCCAGCTGTACCGCCGTTACGAATTTTCAGCTTTATTGCTTTGTAGGGTTTATATTTATTTTAACTAACATTTATTTTAAGTTTAAACTATCTTTACTGTTAAGCCTTACTTTCCCCTGGAATTGCCAATGCCAGAGTATGTAAATTTTAGTAGAACGCGCAAGGATTCAAAATGTCAGCGGAAGTAATTTGAGAGAATAGAAGGGAAACGAGTTCGAAAGGGTGCTTTCTTGCTTCACGAGCGTGGAGGTGGCTAGTTAGAAATTGAAGAACCACGCGTTTCGGCTTGTGTGCTTGCCTCGGCAAATTGTTAATCTTTCAACGTAAGATTCAGAAGTTTGCTGAATTATCAGCGGTATTTTAGAACGCGGTGAGGTTAGTTACGTTTAGAGAGCCTCGTAGTTAGTCACTTGTTACTATTCTTTTCTCAGTTTCTTATTTTTATTTTACCGCCGGGTCGGCATAGTTTGTGAGCGTCAAGAGCACGCATTTGTAATTTCTAAAGTTGAATAAAAAGGGATTTAAACCCTTCTCAAGACTTTGTCTACTTAAACCAATCTTTATAGTTCGTATGTGGCGTTTATTTAATGTACATAACAGTTATTTTATATTTGGAATATCTACTGTCATTTCTCTCTTACCTTTTTTTCGCCAGAATTCAAATTAGTTCGTACCTATTTAAGTCAGGGTTTGAGATAATTAAGTCAGAGCGTGTTATGCCGTTTGAAGGCCGCGTTAATAGTTTTGCTTTCTAGATAAGAGTTCTTGTCTTTGAAGTTGCTGTTGAAACCACGTTGGTGAATTCCGAGCCAGTTTCGTGATTAAATTGCTCTGAGTAGCCTTTGGCTATTAGATATTTCAATTTAGTCCTACATTTATTTATTATTATTATGCACGTGTTCTGCCCTAAGGCACTACACGGAAGGAAGGGATGCCTTCGTGCAAGTCTTTCTACGGGAACTGGCTCGTATTAACAAGTTACACATGGTGCAAACCAGGAAAACGTCCATGCAGACAGCCTGTTCGCGGGACTCGAACCTCGGACCGAACTATCAGTGTTCAGGGACTTTAATGCTCGACCGATGATGGGCCTTATTCCTACATTTAAATTTTTACTTTGAGTTTTTCGCTACAAGTGCTTGCGGATTTTTAAGCACCAGATGTGCTTTCTGTTCATCTGAGTTTAAAATAAAATGGTTTTTTACACCCTTCGAAAGTACATGCGCTCTTAAACTAAGCGATAAATCGCTTAAAGTCTATTAAAAGTTTAAGTCACATTTTGAAATAGTAAAAGACTTTAAACCCTACATATGTAAGCATTTTAATTTTAAAACCACCAGGCATGGACAAATAAATATTTATTTTATTTTAGATTTACTTGTGTTTATGTTAATAACTGGGTGGTAGTTAACAGCGTACCTCACAAATTAAGTATCTTGATAGCTAACCATTAACCTAAATATTTGGTTTAAGTCAAGTTCACATTCCAGAAGTTATAAGTTTTGCTTGCAAGGTTGTTCACTTCACAAAAATTTTTTTTCCGTCGATGTGGATTCGAAATATGCAATTTCACGATACATTGTTCGTTACAAATACAAATGATACATTTCTGAAGTCTATATTGACTTCCTTACTCGACGTTACAATTTTGCAGCACGATTGGTTTTTCTAAAATCAAAATCTAGCAAATTTTGCAATTAGAGCGCGGATGACAAAAGGGAGTCCACATTAGTCCATATCAAACCAACGATTTTTCGTCAAAATAAAAAAAAATTGTTTCCATCTATGGGTTCGTTGAAGTCTTAATAACTGTGCAAGAATAACAAAGAGAAATTGACACTATAACAAAATAAATAACAGTTCTACGATTAGGTAAACAGCTATAAATAGCTCAAAGGAATAGAAAGAGAATAAATTTTCTTTAATTCGCGAGAAATATCGCAGCTCACCAAAATCATTCACAGAACAAAATCTAAAGGAGAAATTCCCAACGAGAAAAACAGAGTCGCACAACTCTGAACTGAGCTTATACACTGAAGTGACAAAAGTCATGGGATACCTCCTAATATTTTGTCGGTCCTCCTTTTGCCTGGCGAAGTGCAGCAACTCGACGTGGCATGGACTCAACAAGTCGTTGGAAGTCCCCTGCAGGAATATTGAGCCATGCTGCCTCTATAGACGTCCCTAATTGTGAAAGTGTTGACGGTGCAGGGTTTTGGGCACGAACTGACCTCTCGATGATGTCCCATAAATGTTCGATGGGATTCATGTGGGGCGATCTAGGTGGCCAGATCATTCGCTGGAATTGTCCAGAATGTTCTTCTAACCAATCGCTAACAATTGTGGCCCGGTGACATGGCGCATTGTCATCCATAAAAATACCATCTTTGTTTGAGTACGGCTGTAAGTGATCTCCAAGTAGCTGAAGGTATCCATTTCCAGTCAATAATCGGTTCAGTTGCACTAGAGAACCGAGTCCATGCCATGTAAAAACAGCCCAGACCATTATGGAACCACCACCAGTTTGAACAGTGCCTTGTTGACAACTTGGGTCCATGGCTTTGTGGGGTCTGCGCCACACTCGAACCCTACCATCAGCTTTATCAAGAAATCGTGACTCATCTGACCAAGCCACGGTTCCAGTCGTTTAGGGACCACCGATATGCTTACGAGCCCACGAGAGTCACTGCGGGCGATGTCGTGCTGTCAGTAAAAGCACTCGAGTCGGTCTTCTGCTGGCATAGCCCAAGGAAGACAAATTTCGCCGCACTGTCCTATCGGATACGTCCCTCGTACGTCCCACATTGATTTCTGCGGTTATTTGACGCAGTGTTGTTTGTCTGAGAACATTGACAATTCCACGCAGACGTCGCTGGTCTCGGTCGTTAAGTGCAGGTGGTCGGCCACTGCGCTGTCCATGGTGGGATGTTATGCCTGAAATTAGATACTCTCGGCACATTCTTGACACTGGGGATCTCGGAATGTTGAATTCCCTAACGATATCCAAAATGGAATGACCCATGCGTCTAGCTCCAACTACCATTCCGTGTTCAAAGTCTGTTAATTCTCGTCGTGCGGCCATAATCACGTTAAAGCCTCTTCACATGAATAACTTGAACACAAATGAAAGCTCTGCCAAAGCACTTCCCATTTATACATTTTATACGCGATACTACTGCCATCTGTATATTTGCATATTGCTATCCCATGACTTTTGTCACTTCAGTGTAAGGTATTTTTTCCCTCCTTCCAGTATGCCTTCGTAGTGTAAAGGTAGAACACTCGGCGTGTATTCGAGAAGTCCAGGCTCCAGTTCCGGCGAAAACATTGCTCATTTTTCATGTTTCCTACATTCAAAAATAACATAATGACTCTACATGCTATTCAACTAACTGAACCCACGGTTTAAAAGCAGTTCCTTTAATAGGATTACTCAGCATATTTGGAAGCTTCAAGGAAACTCTCTCCTGGGACCTCAAAAATACGTTTTCTGAAAACTTCCATAATGGTACCAAGTTGGCGAGAAATAACTAAATATCGGGATCGTAGTGATATAAATTGTCACCAAGTTCTGGTGGAAAAGCTTTTGCCTGTATCTTCCGTTGCGCCTGAGCCTCTTTTACATGTCAAACGACGATCGATTCAGGATTACAAGATTTCCAACATAGTACCCGAAGTAAGCTCTTAAAAACCAGTAAATGTGCACCAATTCGATTAAAGAAATACACAATAAAATTATTAAAAATTAAAATACAATCAAATAAAGCAGGTAGATATATACGTATAAGTTTAAAAAACATGAAGCTAACTCACCTTGGACTCAGACTGCTCAGAAAGCTGTGAATGGAAACTGGCCGATGCAGAGCTGCTGGATAAAGTGGATTGAAAGCTCATTATACTAGCTGAGTTTTGATGGGCGATTCGATCCAAAGTGGAATTATCTGAAGTCTTGCCATCGCCGGCCCAAAACACTGAAATGGAAAAATAAAATTCAGTGCTTTCTAACTACAATCAACTTCAATAACAAAACTGAAATAAATTAATAATTAAATTAAATTAAAATAAATAAATTAATTATCTAAAAGATTTCAGATTTTAAATTACGTCCAAAGGGGCGTTTTTTTCACGTTTTGTGCGTTACCTTTATTTATTAAATATCATGTTCTTTGCACTTAAACCATAACATTCAGTTCAATAGCAATGTCGCAAAATAATTTTAAAATGAGCCTATCTTTATAATTTGCGGTACACAGTTCTGGGCGCTGGAGATAAAAAGGTATTTTTTTCCTCCCGTAGAGTGTTGCCATTGCTCGTTTTTAAATCGTTAAGTTTGTTACTCAAAAATTCGTTAAATTTTACAAAATATGAAATCGATCATAAAACAAATTCCAAATTTGGTCTTCCACATGCCCATATTCGTAGGAGAATTACGTCATTCAAAATTCTATGGCTCTATGTACCGTTGTTTTATCACAGTGCGAGAAATATACATACATTTATGCAGATTTTTCATTATTTAATTTCTTCAAATATAATGCAGGACTCTAACATTTGGTGGCAACAGTTTGAAAAGTGATTCGCCGTTTATAGTGATCCAACGCATAAGCGCAAAACGAAAACAATAGTCCTTCAGGGACAAAGCCCCTTTGGACTAATAATCCATTACTAAATAAATTATATGCTCTATATATTTAGAATACGTTAGTCATTATTTTTAATTTAATTATTATCTATTGATTATATACTTATATATATAAATTTTATTAAAGAATAATTTTTTAAAAATTATTAATGATACTATCTATATATTTTAAGATTTTTTTTTTAATTAAGAAAGAGAAACACAGTATTAAACAAATTGAACTAATTAAATTTTACCGGAAAACACTTAAAATTTTTTTAAATGCGTTTAAAAAATTCATTACTGTATATATATGTGAATGTGTGTGTAATAATAATGTTGTATATGAAAAATATGAAACAATTCATTAATTGCATTTTGTTTTTATCGTAAAAATGTGGACAGAAACGAAGTCAGCTGCAGACTTGTTATCAGATTATCCAATGTTTTTTAACTTTTTTGTCTGCCTTTAAATGTGAGTGAAATAAAAATCTGAAATATAATTAGAGATTTCTTTTAGAAGTAAGCTTGCCTTTTAAAACTTCGAAATATTATTTATTAATTTATTATTTCGTTGCGGCCAAATTTATTATTGGAATTTGAAAATTATTTTATTAACAACATTAGTTAATTATAATTTAAAAAAAATAATAAACAATGTAAAATAAAATCACAGTATCCCCCTCTCAGAAATATGTAGTAATAAAGGGAATAATAAAATGCTGAAAAATTCTTCAAGGGAGTCGTCTGTCATAGAAGTATGGAGATTCTCCCGTTTTAAATAAAGGGAAATAGCAAAGTTTGCTCACATTTTCAAACACTGCATTTTACATCTGTGTATTTACAAACCTGTACAAATATTGCATTTTCGAACAATTAGAATTTGAGTTATTATTTAGGCTCAAAATCAGAAATCTGAACTCTCTTATATTCTAAGTGACATTATAGGGGTATTCTCATTTGAATTCCACCCTTAAATGTTAATTTAATAATTCTTTCCATTAAAATAAACATATAAATTGAGTTTTTATAACAGATTTCTTAATAATTTTAGCTGTTTATTTTGAGTACTTCATTTCACATATACAAATCTGAAATCGTTTAGATTTTAAACTGAGAATCGGAGAATACGAAGGTGGAGAGAACAGCATACAGAATGCCATATAGAATGTTGTTGCTATCGAAGAATTAGAGTCTCTTAAGCAATCGGTTACATTAAAATTAAATTTTAACAAAATTTTCCACGTTTCAGTGGGCATAAAATAAATAAGAAATGGATCTTCTCTTCATTCTAACGACAACAATAACAAAAAATAACAGTTACAAGTATAGGGAACAGAATGTCTGCTAGAAGAAACTTTAAGCTTCTTTACATACTTGAAATCAGATTTATAAAATAAATACAATATTATAGATTACGTCTGGTAACTTTATTCAGATTTTAAGTTCATTTATGCAAGGTCTGTTAATTTTCACCGTACAATAAATAACAAGAGTACGGTGATCAGGAAGAAGGAAATGCAATTGTTCCAGTTATGTTAAGGTTCACCATTAACCGAGCTGTAAAATAGCCGAAAACTAATTTCAGATCCCAGCAAATGAGTTGGCTGAATGGCAATTTTTGAGGTTTTTCTCACGTGTAACATGAATAGAGCGAGTTTGTTTTAAAAAATACACCGCGACGGCTTAGGCAGAGAGAGTTCGTGAGCTTTGTCCTAATCCAAATAATCCAATTACATCTAAGTTACTGAAAAAGTTTTTAATTACAAATGCAGGAGGGAAAAAAAGCTTCACACCCAGTACATTCTAAAATCACACCCGAGTCCAATACTCACATAAAAAAAGCAATGTTTACGTTACCTAGAAGAATTCCAGACACCCGAGTTACGCTGCCACCGCCAATTTTCCCTTGCGTTCTGATTTGGAACTCAGAACAGATTTGTGAGGCTTCATCGTCACATTCATGAAGAGATAAGGGATGTGTTTATAAACAAAAGTCTTATCCATTCCTTCTTGAGAATAAGCGTTTTGTTCAGAAGAGAAATGCACTTTCATATCACCAAAGTCTATCATGTTATCGTTTAAAATGTTACTCACAAAACTTCTGAAAATAATTGCTGTGACTGTGGACGAATTAAATAGAAAAAAGAAAATTTATGAATGAAGGCAGTCTTGAACAAAATGATGTTCAACGAATGTAATGAAAAAAAAAAAAAAAAAAATACTGTCCTTTAAACCACGGTTTCTTAAACTGTGGGTCGCGGGGCTTGCAGCAGGGGGTCGCCATAAATTTTAGCACTTTTGATATTTCTTTGACTTATAATCATTTTACAACTACCAAATATTTTTTTACAATGTATCACACCCGAGTCCTGAAACACCCGAGTATCTGAAAATAAATAAAGATAAGACAATACAGACAAAGAAAACAACGAAAACGTTTCGACGCATTCTTTTTTATAATACAAACGTTCACTTTCCTTGCTTTGCACATGACGCTGTCATTTCGTCTGTTATTTATTTAAAATTTTCACATTGTTCCATGTATAAAATTTAGTAATTAAAGTTTATGACCTAAAACTGCAATAGTATATTACAGTACAAGTGAAAAAATTGAATGTTTCACTCACGCGTGTGTCGGATTTGCGCAATACTTATGGGATCCGACAAAATTTTTGTAAATATTATGGGGTCTTGGGGGTCGCGAAAAAATCTCAGTGATAAAAAGGGGTCGCGACTGAAAAAAGTTTAAGAAACATAACACATAAAAATACATTATAGCGTTATGCATTTATTTTGTCTCCTTATCTCTTCTACCTTGTACAAAGTAAAACAACTGAAAACGAGAAAATATTTGAGATTTTCTGTTTCTATAAAGCTACAAAATGATATAAATATTGTTAAAAGTTTCTTTTAAATTTATACTGCTCTTTTGCTAGTTCTTTCAAATGTTGGCCTTGCATTCACATACTAACACTTTGATATTAATATTTTGTTGTAGACCTTAACTTCTAATGAAATTTCTAATACTTGATTATAGATTTATGAGGTAAGTAGTAAGCATTAGTAATTTAAAGTAGTAAGCATTCTATAATATGTATAAAGTGCAGAATTCTAATTTCCATCAAACTGAAAGAAAAACAAGCTAGTGTAAAATTTTAAATTATAAAAAAGAGAGAGAGAGAGATAGCCTTAGACGCAGATTTTGAATAAAATGTTATCGATTTCGAAGACGATCAGACATAAATCCCTGCTCCTCAGGAGGAAAAATGTTTTTGCGAGAGTGAAAAGAGCCACAAACAACAGATCCTTCTACAGATGGCTCTACGTTCATTTTCACTTCTCGCCATCCAATGATTTTCATTTAAAAAAAAAAAAAAGTTTTTCGCTTCTGAAGAAGAAGGACCTATATCTAATCGCCTTCAAAATCGATAAGAGTTTTATTAAAAATTTGCGACAGTGTAAAGTTTGGTTTATTTTTGCCTAATTTTAAATGCTACATTACTAGAGACCTCTTGTCTACAATTAAGTTGCCATAAAAACATTTCAGTAACAGAACTCTGGTATGGAAAAGTGCCCGATTTTCCAGTTGATACATTAAATGCTTCCCGAGTTCGTTACTTGTGTTATTTAATTAAGGATAACTTACTAATCTGAAGTAAAGTTCTTCGCACGGGCGGATAAAAATAAAGGCTTTTCTTAGTTTTGTCACATACACAAAAGAAAAGAAGCATAAAAATTCAATGCTGTCAAGAGCTATGCAAAGGCTAGTTCACGGGCTGGAATACAGCCAACGGTCTTAGAGAATGTTCTGGAGCCTATCCAAAAGGTTTCAACTTATAGCATGTCCTTTGAGATATCCATTCAATAATCGAAAGATTTAATGCCCAGATATTCTCCAGCATAAAATTTATTCTCTTCGGATAATACGTTTTCTCACACATCAAACAAAATTGCCTTCAATCGATTGATATTTTTGCTACTAACTAAATGGCCTTCGTGGTTTTATCTGCCCATCTAACTTCTATTCTGAATTAATATTTAACTGTCAAACATTTAAAAGTAGCCTTGCTCTATTTATTCTTTTTATAATCCTTTACATCTGCACATTTCTAACGGACACAAAATAAAACACATTATTCTAATTTTAACTTTTATAACATTTAAGTAACAAATGCTATTTGCATCCGAAAACATCTTGCTTTTAGTATTTTTATGCTGGTTTTTCAGTTTGTTTTTGTCAAACAGCGGGAACAGTTTTTGATCCACTTCTACCTAACCAAATTTTCTGAAAATTCTGCATACTTCAGAATTGAAATAGCATTATAATAATTCCTTATACGCTTCTTTGTTTAATGTTCAACACGCTTCCAACGCTGAGCCCCCCCCCAAAAAGCACTTTTTATTTCAATATTAAATTGAAATCTAAGCCGGTTTCCATAGCAGTTAACTCTAACACTTCACAGAAACAGTTGACATTTCCTAAAATTAAGCCTCTTGGTCCCAAACTGATATATATGTCGGCGAATAGTAAATCTTTTTACTTGTATTTTTTTTCTTTTTATGAACCCAGTACTTAGAGATTACGTGACAAAAAGATTCATCACCAAGTACAGAACAGAAAATGTTCAGTTTTACTATGAAAATTCAGCATTCTATTATTTTGACATAACGAGCATAGTGCAACTAGTTCAATGATCGGAACTCTTCTAGAGCTCCAATAATTCACCAAATGGTTCAACATTTGCAGCGCAAACTGTGGTTCTCTCGGACAAAATTTTAGAAATCACTGAATTTTTAGACTTTCGAATTTTAACTGGTCTTCGGTACTGCCAAATTTAACGGTCGCTGATTTCGTTTTTCTCTGCGGCTGCAGAAGAAAGCTGATTTCGAAGCAGATTTCATTTTTCTCTGCGACTGCTGAAGCAAAGATGCACGCAAATAAGCCATGGACCATATAACATCTTAAACCGTATATTCAATGAGTACATACTTCAAAAGATAGGACACAAAATTTTAACAAGACCTGCTTAAAGCGCAAGGCTATCAGCAGCCGTCATTTTGCCAGATGTTATTTCATAAACACCATGCAAATACATTTCCATAAATTTTATCAAATTTTAAGAACGATAAAATATAAATAATGGTGAAAGAAAAAATGGTGTGGATTATTTGTTGTTGTGATTAATGTCCCTTGTTGACCAACCACGAGTTTTATTGTGGCAGTGAGTACACGATTGCATTTGCCGTTGGCAAGAGCCTTGAGCACCATACAGATGACAGTCCGACTTTTCTCACTGCCAATTTTGAAGGAAAGCACGCCAGAGAGTGGTCTCCCACCCCTCTTACCTATCACAACCTCTAGAGAGGACTTCGACTTGCCGTGTATTTTGAGAGCATACATGCCGTACAGAGACTATATCGAAGAGATTGTTTCGTTTGACAGGAAATCTGGCAAAAAATTGCTTCTACGTCAATGGAGGATGAGTCTAAGAAACGAAAAGTGGTGTGGGAATGTGCAGTGCAAGGGAAATTGCCCGATTTTTACACGTGCCTATCAGCACAGTTCGTAAAAATTTTATGAAGCATCCTGTAATGCTATACGTTCAAAATTACGTACGCTCAGGAATTGTTTCCTGGTGATCTGTCAATACGATAAACCTTTGCCCTGCAATTTCTTGCTGGGATGGAAGTGAATAATGCACGATCATGGAACATTTTGTGGACAGACGAAGCCCATTTCCATATCCAAGATTCTGTTAGTACGCAAAACTTGTACCAGCATTACAGACAGAATTGCAGAGATCGGACTAGAGCTACGTCTTATGCCTATTAATGTCCCGAACATGTACGTGTAAAGTAAAGGTGAAGCTGCTTACTTGATAACTGTTTAATTCTACGCCTTAACAATGTAAAGATGCAAGTAATTATCGCATTCTCTCGCGCGTGTTATCATGGTATAAGGGATTAGGACATCTAGCAAACAACTGGAAGATCATCGCCGGGTCCGAATCCTGGCCAGAGAAAGAGGTTTCTTTCGAGGCATTGAAAAACTTAATGCTCTAGACAATTGCTCCTGAATTAAAATATGATAGACGACAATTCATCATCGCCTGCATTGGTCGATTAAACTTTGTGCCTCCTCCTGACTGCTCTTTAACTGGTGGAGAATGCAAGAATCTAGGGCATTCTTCCATGTTTTAGAGATGGCGTAAACCAAAGCTCTGCCCATGAGCTGAAATTTTCTAGGAATTCTCGATGGAATTATATATATCTAGGCTTTCCACATCAAACAGTCAGCTTAAAATCTTCACAACAGTTTTCTTCTTTATGGAAAATGAGGGAAAAATAATATTGCCTTACTGATAGTCTGTGAATGAATGCCAAACACCGTGGAGGATATTTAACCATCAAGAGGAGTTTTATCTTTCATATTATAATATAAAGCATTAGTTAGCACTTTCTTGAATGAGCTATTATGCTCACAAATAATATTTTGATGCTTTTTAGTAGCAATAAGAAAATTAATGAAAAGTTCCGCTTGACTAGGGCTTCCCCGCACAGTTAAGACCATTATTAGATAGGAAAAGAAAACTCTCATTAAAAACAGAGCAATCATACACAAAATTATTTTAGAATATGCATTATTGTACTCGACAACTTCATGTGAACAAGCAGCAAAACTTAGTCTTCGGAAGATTTCGATAAAATATTTGAGAGATAATAGAGGCTCCGGGGTACATTAAAAATAGTGCAATACATCAGAATCTTAAAATCTGAAGCATATTACAATTTTCTAAATAATGCAGCTGTTAAATTGTATAAAAGTGCTGACGAACATTGAAACCCACAAAATTCGAAGACACAACTTATTACCCTAGGATACGTATTTATAGTCTTCCAATATTTTATTATTATAAAATCAATAATTAATATTCTTAATGCTTTATATATTTAAGGCTTAGTAAACAGTGTCTCTGATCTGAATTGTATTCATCACTTACAGATGCAATATTCCAAGCAGATAATTTTCATCCATTCCCACATACAACTGTCATCACATAACTCTTTATGTAAAAAATTAAACATGTTTCCGCAATAAATGAAAGAAAATAGGGAATTTAAGCCATCCGATATTTCAAAAAAAGCACATGATCTGCGATATAGATATGAGATAGCACTGCTTATATTGTTAAAATGCTTTCACATAAAAAAGGAAAGAACAAAATCAGGTCGGATGTGAACAAAACGATCAATAGGCGATCAAGGGAATGATGCGCCATGGTATATAATAAAATATATTATTACTTATTCACATTTATATCATAAATTAATCCGGATATAAACCAGAATATAGTAATAATATTTCTAAATGTAAAATAATATTCATTTACAACATGCAGCGGCGAGATAAGATGATGACGTGAAGATATCGATTTGGTCAACGCAGTTATACATTTACGGAATCTCAAAGATTCATTGAGCTGATCCGCTTTCATTTTGTGGGGAAGCCTTTTAACTCGGCTTTTACTAGAAACAGAAAAATAGCTGAACTTAGAAGGCATCATTTTATTAAGGACACAAGATGTATGGTTTTACTTCTAACCAACTGACTTACTTTGTTCAGAAGGCCAATCAACATGTTGCGATTCTCTTTCGTCCATCTCTTGCTCAATGTGAAGCGTAGGGTCCATCTCATTGAAGTTTCTGTAATCTCGAGGTAAATCTCTGGTTCTGGCTGTATATCCGATAGTAGGCTCCTGTTCAGAATGAAAACATTAAGAATGTTAGTTTTCTACATTAAAAAGTAAAAGACAGCAGGCTAAATACTGTTAAGTACCCTTCGAAGATAAATCGAAGCGGTAAGCTCGCGATTAACGGGGTACGTATTATATGAGTTACGAATTAACCAGATTACGGATACACGACTTTACATTTACTAGGTTCCGGATTAACCAAGCTACCGATAGCCAGAATGGGATTGACCAGGTTGCGGATTAACCAAGCTACCGATAGCCAACATGGGATTGACCAGGTTGCGGATTAACCGGTTTAAAACATCCGAAAGTAGGTTCTTAACCAGTATAGAACGATATCAGTATGACGGTAACAATCAAAGGTAGTCAGATAAGAGTCAACTTCCGATTAACCAGATGTGAATTAATCAGGTAGCGGATTAAACACCTTCTGTTTTGGGGGCGGGGGGTCAGTTTATTTATTGCAAGAGGATGGCAAAATTATTAACACAAGCCATGAATGTAAAACAAAACTGTCTACGCAAAGTAAAAAAAAAAAAAAAGAAAAGAAAAGAAAAGAAAAGAAAACGGTGCGTGGGATAACAGTGAGAGCAGATGATGTCACACTATTTGGGGAATGTACCACAACAGTACGTAATTAATTGAATGAAATCCGAAATATCAAATTGTTATTAAATCATTCATTAATAGTAAATTAATCATTCATAAAAGTTGATCGACTTACACCCATTGATCTTCTGCTTCATAATGACTTTTATAGGAATGCAACAAGTTCAAGTAAAAATATGAAGCAATGTACTCTAAACTATAATGTCTTGGATACTAGCCATTTAAAAGAAAATATTAAATTTTTGCAAGTCTAATAAGAGCTTTAAAAAAAGAAAAGATTTCAGCCGAGACCTATGCAACCTATGAGACGCGGGTCACCGGGTGATTCTTTTTATAGTTTCAAGTAACTCACTTGAGCCCCGAAAATAAAGTACAATATGTAAAAATAAATTATAAAGCATAAATATGAAATCAACACTTGAAGAATATATATAAAAATAAGCAGAAAACAAATAATAACAACTTTTTGTTTGATTACAACGTTGAAGTATTGAATATGCATTTTTATTTTTAAAAAATAAGAACTGTAAAAATAATAATAATACTAATAATAAAAAAAACTGAAAGGTTTCACATTTTGGTGCTACTTTGGTAGACGGTTGCACGGATTTTTGGCGATTTTCGTTGGCCGAATTGTTGGCGCGATTTTTACAAACGTCAGCCATCTTGAAAAACGCTGTTTTTACGCATAGTAAAGTATTCGAAACTTAAAAAAAAAAAATAAATAAATATCGTTAAAAGTAATGGATTAATTTTTTGTTGAAAATGTCGCTTTTTAAGATGGCAGGCAAGTGTAAATAAATACATTTACTATGAGCATAAAATACTAAAGTAAGGTTATTATTACTTTCATATAGCAAAGAAGAGAATAAAAACACCGCTATAAAAACATTGGGCCAGAGTTTAATTAGATTAAAATATTACTGAAATTGAATATCGAATTAAAAGCCATCATACCAACATTTAAAAGAATTAGAATATTATTAAATTCAAATACTTTAAAATACGTTATATAGAATATAATTAACATTAAAACATATGGGACAATAATTATCTCAGCAATTTCTGAAAATAGTGTATTAATTTTTTTAACAAAAAATTGAAGTATACAATTATAAATAAAAGAAAAATATGTACTTACATTTTTTTGAGTGTTTAACCTGTTGTTTACTGATAAGTACCACAATACAAAATCAGAATCATAATTTAGATAACATCTTTGAAGGAATTCGAAGATATAAATTAAATTTTAAAACGGCGCGGAAATGCACAAATTGTCAGTAACCAATCAGGGAGCTGATTACAGCTCGTTAATGCACAAATATTCTATAACCAATCAAAGAGCTTATTATATCACGGCTAGAATTAAAGTTATTTAAAAATTATAACATAATAAAATCATTTTTAAAAAAATGCAAAATTAAATTGTATTTTAATATTTAAGAGCCATAAATAATGTTTAAAACATTAGATTAAATTTATACATATTAAAACGAATTACTTTTAAAGTAAGGTGACGTCATTGATTACATCATCCACAACATAAAATTTCATAAAATATGATAAACAATAAAATTTTTATTTCAAATAAAATGCAAAATTAAATTGATTTTTAATATTTAAAAGCCATAAATAATATTTTAACCACACGGAATTTATGCACAATAAAAAACGCATTATTTTTTAAATAAATGACAACAAAGTATCGGTTACCATAAATAACTTATCCAGCAATGGGTTTACCATAAGTTGTATTACTCGCCAAAGGAAAATCGCCAAATAATCGCCAAAATCCGTGCAACCGTCTACCAAAGTAGCACCCAGATTTTAAATTACGTCCAAAGGGGCCTTTTTTTAACATTTTGTGAGTTACCTTTATTTATTAAATATCGTGTTCTTTGCACTTAAACCATAAAATTCAGTTCAACAGCAATATCGCAAAATAATTTTAAAATGGGAAAATCTTTAGAATTTCCGATACACAGCCTCACGCGCTGGAGATAAAAATGTTTCTTCTGTACAACGTTGCCATTGCTCGCTTTGAAATCCTTGAGTTTTTTAATCAAAAATTCGTTAAAGGTTTACAAAATATGAAATCGATAATAAAACAAATTCCAAATTTCAAATTTGGGCTTCCAGATGTCCATATTCGCAGTAGGATTACGTCAATCAAAATTGGTTGGCTCTAGGTACCGTTGTTTTATCACAATGCGAGAAACATACATACATTTATGCAGATTCTTCATTATTTAATTTCTTCAAATATAATACAGGGTGATAATATTTGGTGGCAACAGCTTGAAAAGTGAAACGGACATTCAGAGTGATTCGATCACAAAACGAAAACAATAATCCCTCAGGAACAAAGCCCCTTTGGATTAACAATTTCAAGCAGAAATCGATGTTTGGCAACGCCGATCTATAATCCGTAATTAACAAAAATTGACTACCATTTTGTCAGCATTCGATTAAATTTGTAAATGAAAGCAAATATTTCCAAATATGAAATTTAATTTAAGTAACAGTAGGAGAAACTTATTTGTTTGAATTCACCTTAGCACGACTAACTATAAGCCAGACTTGACTAAAGTTCAGCATCAGAGAAGTCATTGATATCGAAGAGAAAAATAAAGTTCATTCAGTTGTGTTTATTTTTATAATAATTATAATTTTTTTATGTTTAAAGTTTAAAAGGTATTGTAATTACTTTTCAATAAAATTTATCTTATTATTCGCCAAGAAAGACTGTTCTAAAATGAAAATACCACTGACCCGAAACGTCTTCTTAATAATACACACATTTTGATTGATTTTGATCCGCAGCCAAAAAAAGATTGCCGAAGCCTAGTCTAGAGTTTTCCAGTTCACGGTACACTGTGCAATCCCACTATGTGCCCTTCATCCAATATTTGTTAAAAATAACATTTTGATACAATGAGATTAAAATATAATATTTACTAAATACAATTTAAAATTCCCAAATTCATTTGAGAAGATTTGTTTGAAGACATATTGCAACAAGTACAATCAATGAACAATGAAGGGGAATAAGTACAATGGTATAGTGAACTGTACTATAATAATAATCAGCAAATGTGTATAGGTTTATATCGTTTTAGAATGAAATCAAAATACTTTAAATAAGAATCTAAGATTTCAGGGTACTCGGAAAATTTATCAGCTTTTCAGGAGTAATTTAATATTAATAAATATTTAATTTTAGTAAAAATTAAATTGATATTAAAAAGTGGAGAATAATATGACCCCTTGGACAGCTTATTCTGTTCACATGCTTCGAATTTAGACTTGTAATCTAAGTAAACCACAGAATAAACCATTCATTCTATAAAAAAAAAAAAAAAAAAAAAAAAAAACATGAACATCGAATAAAATTAGAAAAATTATTATTAAATTCGAAACACAGGAAATAATTTAGAAAAGCGAGAAACACAATTTAAATAAATGCCTTAGAAATGGTACGTCGGAGTAGGTCATTACAGTTCATAAAATTCATAATACGGAATCAAAATACTCTTTAAGTCCACGCATCTTATGCACGAACTTAACACAGATCTACACTGTAGGAAAAGGGGAAGTCGTTTCCTAATTTTTTGAGGCTTAGTATGTTAATGTTTGTCTTTGGAATGCAAGGCGATCAAGTTGTGGAGCTGTTACGTCATTTTCGTCAGTGAAGACGTAAGAGAAAGTGAAGTGATCAAAAATGCCCTGTTTTGCGATATATACTGAAGACAAAGCTTGATATAGTTCTTGAATATGTGGGTAAAGGACTGTGACCTGTTATATAGTAATTTAATTATGAAGTCGAGTACAGAGATGTGGATTTAAACTGCACAGCAAACTATACAGTAGGCGCGTCTACCCTGGGACGCAGTTAGTCCGCATATCTTACCAATATTTTAAATCGAGGTGACGTCTGAATTTTCAAAGAGCTCATGGTAGGATAACATCTTGATTAAGTGCTGCTGCTTTGGCTAATATGTCTGTTTGATCATTACCAAAACGGTCACTATGTCCTTTAATCCAAGAGATTTCAGTTTTGTAGTTTAGAATTGCAGCAAGTACAGAGTTTACGTATTGGAAAAAAGAGAAAGGGTTATTAATCGCTAAAATAGCTGCTTGGGAGTTAGCGTTTATGGTAAATTTGTTGATATTATTGATGATGGCATTTTTACCTGCTGTTTTTATGGCATACAGTTCAGTAAGAAAAACACTATTATTATTATGGAGATGGCCTTTCCATTTGATGTTATTTGCAATAGTAGTTTGGAAACAAACTGTTGATCCAAACATTTCATCAATTTTTGATTCATCAGTGGATGCAGATACAGCCGAATTGTTTGAATTCGTGTCAGACACGGATCATTTTAATTAATTCAAGCGATGTACCAGATAAGTAAGAATTATGAGGTATGGCATTATTTTTATTTTCCTAGTTGGACGGAATAATGATATGATTGTTAAATTTTGAAGCTTGTTAAAGTTCAAAGATTTAAATGAATACAACAATAACGTAAACAAGAACAAACAGCACGTGCACATAAAATAAGAAAGACAGGTAGGGAAGTACTTTTTAAGGTAAAATGATTTATATTCACGTTACACGTAGGGATCGAAAATCAACCATGCAACTAGCCCATTTGCTTGGTTCAAACTTGTATTGAACAACCGACATCCAGCGGTCTTAACCGCTCGACCAACTAGTAAGGCTGAGAGAGAGAGAATTTTAACACAATTTAAAGAGCTTATTTTTCATATTAAACTGCTTGAAAATGCAAGTAAACTGCTATTATATTTTCGTATTAGTTATCGTATGTGTTATTCTTCTTTTCTATTATGTTTATACTGTATATAAATGCCATCGGATTAATCAGTTATTAAGCATGATCTCGTTCCCGGTACTACTCTGGTTAATAGGGAGTTGACTGAAAGAGAACAGATGAACACCTATAATACACCTGAAGGTGGGTGGCTAGGTATAGTCTTTCCGTTCAAATCCGTTCCATCTAAAGTACATTACCATATACATGAAGGGACATTCGGAACTAAGTTCCTCTAAAATTTATTTCAAATGTATTGCGAGCTATAATTACATTCATTTGGATTACCTTAATCAACAGATTACTGATTGAATTCATATATATATAAAATAAAATTAAAAGGTATTTTGGGCTATACGTACATCCAAGCGGATTTACTTTGGTGTAATTCATTCATTAATACATTGAATACTTAGATGCATATCAATAAAATTCACATTAAGCTCATAAATGTATAATATTACTTATACATTAAATAGCACTAAATAAATCAACTTTTGAGACGTTAAATTGAGTGACCATATATTCATGTATTCAATTATACAATAAAATTACTTACCGCTAATCTTCTACTTGTATCTTACTACATTCGCAAAGGATGGATTAAAAGAGTAAAGCATTTAAAGTTAGACGAAGCTGCACTTCAGGTTATGTTGAGTTTTATATATCAGCTACTTGCATTTTAAGGAAATCTAACAAGTATCTCCCTTTTTCAATTAACAAATTGCTTTCGGAACATTTTCAGAATATTTTTCGATACTGCATTCATATTTAACTCGCTTTAGAACATATTCTAAGAAAAATTTGAAGAGGAATCCGCGACAAGTTAATTCGAAATTGGGTTTATGGCGATGGGTACTGTACATAGATTGATTGTAGAGTTCCGGACTGACTTATATCGAAAAAATTGAAAAAGGATTTATTTTGACGCAGAACAGAAAGTGTTCATCGGGGCTCTTCTTCGTTTTGGATGGCTTTGCTTGAAATGCATAATGAAGTTATGAATTTAAAGGACCATTTTAAACCATTAAACCATTTTAAAACTGGATATATGACACTGAGTAGTAATAAAGCACAAAAGCCTTTTTAAATATATCACTACATTTTTTGTTTGCATCATTTAAAAATTCACTTAAAGGCAATGAAATGTTTTCCATTTATAGAATACCATTTTGATTAGATTCGTATACCGTGCAGTTAATATTTCGATAGAATTTGTATTTCGAATGAATATGAAACAAAGACAAGGTTATTTCATTTTCTGGGAAAATATTTCATTACCTGCTGCGTTTCAATATCAAAAATCTGTGTTAATTTTTGTTGTACGGGAGTCCACTTTTTTGGTTAAATTATTCAAATATGGAAAAGCACGCAAAGGCATCTGCGTAAGGGGATAGACGCCTTCGTGGAGGACGTTATAAGGGAAATTGGTTCATATTCACGTTATACACGATCAAAGTTTTGCATTTTAATTTTTAGAATGAGTATAGGATTTTAGTAAATATAACTATAGGGACTGAGAGACCTATGAAAAGTTAAATTTCGTAATGTTTACAAAACTGACTTAAAATACCATGGCATTTATATTTGCGTCGTTTAAAACATTTTAGTGGCCCTGTCCCCTCGGCACATAAAATGGGATTACGGTGATTTTTATAAGCACGATGATTTTTAAATGTATGGTGAAAGCCCGTAAAAATGCAAGAAACAGAATGTGATCCTAAATAATAAGGGGTACCTCAAACTTTCTGCATTTCCCCATTTTTTATAATAAGAGCTAGACCAAACGACTTAAATTCAGGCAAAAAGTGTTCATGCATTATTAAGAAATATACTTACGGTCTGAGTTGAATTTAAAATATTATTGTTGGCCTCATTGTGTACTTGTGCAGCTGTTCCTGTCATAACCTGAAACAGAAGGCAATGCAATTATATTTTACATTAATTTTTAAATAACATATCAACACAAAACACAAAACTGTCATACAGTAAGGGAGAGATCGCGCAGTTAATTTTACTTACAGTGCTCACTAGGCTTTTTTGTTTCCTAAAACATTATAAATATTAAGAGTATGAAAACATAATGTAAGACATAAATTTAAAAGACGCGTGCAGTGTAACTAAAAAATATAAGTCAAAATGTTCTCTTTGAATGAATCAAAATATTAACCATTTTAGTCAGATATGCAAATTCTGAAAAAAAGTCTTTTTTTTTCTTTCTTTTTTTCTTTTTTTTTTTTTTTTTTTTTTTGTCGCACGTCATCTATACTAAATTAATATTACCGGCATAATAAAGGCGTTCCAGCAACAAATTAGAACTCATTATCAACCTACTAAAATTCTAACTAAAATTCTAACAGTATGAAACCAAAGTTTACTGCCACATTATCGAAGAAGAAACGAGCGGAAGGAAAATCGCTTATGGAGTAGATCTTCATGACTTTTTTCAGTGATGAAAGGATGACTGTAAATTCCCAACATTCTTTTCAGGCAGGAAGATCCAAATTTCACACGATATTTTCTTGCAGGTCAAGCTGCTTTAATTTTTTTTATCTCTTTCTTTTTACATGGACATTTCAACTTGAAGGTGATCCTGAACTTTACTGCGATCATTTTAAATAAATAAAACTCAACAGAAATTGCTAATTGGAATCGGCATTCCGGTGATACACGAAGTCAAAATGTCACGATATTATCATCACAATATGTTTCTGTTATTTTATTTTGCTAGAAATTGCTACTTTTTACGTCATTTTTTGAAGCACAGACTGATACTGGCTTTGTGCAGTTCAAAATGATTCAGTTCGTAAAGTTACACGATGAACATAAAAACTTGAAAACATGATCTACAATCGTATTCTGAAGACCGATTTTAATAAACCTATGTGATAAAAGAATTTTGCACTATTTAATTTCGCTTACAAAAAAACCAAACAAAATATGCTCTCTTATAGCTATTATTTTTGGTTTACTTATCTCTCTAACTCCAAGTTAGTTTCAAAGAGTAAACATTTAACATGCTTTATATCAAATTAAATACAGTAAACACTTGCGAAGCGCGGTTTTGCGGAACTCGTTTTCTTATATACGTGAAATCTTAATTGTTTCCATTTAATTTGTCCAAAGTTGGAATTTTATTCATACGCATTCATTCATCAACATTTGATTGCTTGATGGCAACAGCTCTCGCAAGAAATTGATGGCAACAGCTCTCGCAAGAAATTGATGGCAACAGCTCTCGCAAGAAGTTATCTACAGTTTTAAAGAATTTATGAAAATGAAGCCAAGGAAATCGTACAGACTGTAAAAGCAACTGGAACTGAAGGATTTTTAAATATGAAAGTAGGAGAAAACAAGAATTGATCAAGAACTGACGATCTAGAAATAACGGAGGAAGAAATCGTACAAATTGGCTAAAGCAATTAGCGGCGAAGGATTTTCACATGTGGAGGTAGAAGAAAACAAAGAATTAGTTGAGAAAAGATAAAAGAAGAACTGGATGATAGTGAACAGCACAATAGTGATGTCTTATATATTATCGTATATAAAGTTTAACGAAATGTTACAAAAGGCACAGGAACTGTCTGGTTTTGCAATGGAGATTGGCTAAAATGAAAAACGAAGAAGACACTTTATGAAAGGCATTGAAAGTCTCTGCTCTCCTTACCACAAAGCTATTAAAGAGATGCGTCATGGTCCCAAGTTAAAATAACCAGCGTTTTAAAAAATAATCACTTGCTTATTACGTAGTAATAAAAACCCTTTCCATTACAGAATTTTTTTCGTTTTCTTCCTTCTAATTACAATAGTATTTAGGTTTGTTTAAATTATACATACTTTTTTATCCTGAGATTAACCTAACACATTTTTTTCCTTAAAAACTTAACTTTGAGGAACGCGATTTTGCCGTTCGCGCAATCTGTTAATGACATAACCCCTACAAATGATAAGGGTTTGTTGTATTCCTGCCAAAAAAATGACTGCTTAGACTCGACAATTTGATATTTAATTCATATTAAGATTGATATTTCTCAATAGTTTTAATTTGTCTGAATTATTACAACAAAACATAAATACAAAAACTTTTAAATGGTACTATTCGGTTTCGAGGGCCGTAAAAATTCGCCAAACTATTGTTGATGCCAATGCTGCCAAAAATAATTGGGGCAACCCTAATAATTACGGCAAGAAAGGAAGTATAATAGTAAATAACTATTTAAGATTGATGTTTTGATTTAGATGAAAGGTTAATTTCATATAATACTTTTTTATTATTATAATTTATATGAAAAAGGCTAAACATGAATGAATGGAAGCATGATAGTAAATAACTATTTGAGATCATTATTATAATTTATATAAAAATTGCTAAACATAACTGAATGGATGCCTGCATCGCTATTTCGCTACTGACTTATCGCTAAAGCAATAATTTCATTTCGTTGGTTGTTCAAACGTAATTTTCCATAATGAATGATGCCATTTGTTTGAAAATATTCTCGGTAAAGTGCAGAATCGCTCACTTATTTGTTTGCCGCTTTTTACAAGGGTAAAAAAATTGGATATTTGTCAATTTTCTTTTACTTTTTAAGTGAAAATAGGTCGATGTATACATAGATAAAGTCAATGGTGTGCGCAGTGCCATTTTTGTGCATGTCTAGGATTTTTTTTAAAGTGAAAATAGGTCGATGTGCACATGGTTAACGAATATGTGCAATTCTTAAAAACGCGTCAAGCGGTGGGTGATTCTGCACTTTACCCAAAATTCTATTGCCGAGTTTTCGTCATGGGCAATTCCCAGATTGTTAAATCCATAGGATATCAAAAAAGGATTTAAAAATTAAACTAGTATTTCAATGGCGTCTTAAGAAATATAGAACTATATAAACTTACGCAATCTGAAATCAGAGCATACGCTAGATTTGGCGCGCTGTTAAATAGGCGCGTTTGCTAGATTTGGCGCTTTTGCGCCTACGTTTTCGCTGCAATTTTTTTACTGCCCTCGAAACCGAATAGTACCTTTTAAATTGCACATATTTACTTTGAAAAAAAAAAAAATGCAATTCAGCGATCTTTCCTCAGCTTTCGAATCCATGATAACTAATGTTCCCTTAAAAGAAAAGATTGCAAAGCATAGAAAACTTTGCCCGTAAGCTGACAACATTTTAGAGAATGAAAACTGAGAACTATAGTAATAAATGATATCAATTAATAGTTGAAAGGTTAGAATTTGTTAGAAAAATTAATTCCAAAACTTGGTAGACACATTATGTACATATTTTTAAGATTTACCTAACATGTAATTTCAATAAAAAAACTTTCAATAAACTGCCAACAGAGGTCGAGCGGTAAAGTAGCTGGAACACTGGCAATTCGGATCTGAGTGCGAATCCCGGCAAACGGGCTGGCTGCATCGGAGCTTTCGTGGTTTTCTTTATATGTGTAATGTGTATACGAGCCAGTTTTGCTTAGAAAGTCTTCTATGAAGGCATCCCTTCCCTTAGGCAGACACCTTCGAGTGCTTTGCCATAGTCAAATAAGCCAAACCAAACCATTAATAAACTAATCATTATTTTCAGAATTCAGGTAATTTATAACGATATAAATCCATCCATTTTCCTCCAGATCAGGGATTCTAAACCGGTGGTACGCAAGAGAAGAATATGTGGTACAAAAAGAAGCAAAGTATTTTTAACTATTAAATTTAAAAATTAAAACCCCGTCATTCTGATTGAGACTTTTCTTTAACACTCGTAAATTTATGCGATCTGAGCTTTGTTCAAGAGTGGTGGTAGTAGTAATACTTTGTAGTGGTGGTAATAAAGTTTTTCAATTTTTGTTTAGGTGGTACGTGTTAGTCAAAATGTTGAGAACCGCTGCTCTAGATCATCTGCTAGATGCTTGTCCGAAAGTTTCTGCGTCTGAATGTTCCGCAAGCAAACCGCATGACTTGATACCGAGTGTCATTTAATAGCTCCTTCTCTCTCTCTCTCTCTTTTTTTTTTTTTTTTTTTTTTTTTCTCATTTATTTTAAGAAAGGGTGTAAAAAAGCTAAGCAAGAGTGAAATTTCACAGATTCAGATGAAAGTTATTTGAGCGCTTCAAGGTTAACACCTACATCCTATCTCAAGGTGAGTGTCTATTGTTTCCAGAAAATCCTCAAATTCATTGTACAAAGCGCATAGAAACAAGTAAATTTACTTGTTTCTATGCACTTTATTTTTATGTATAATTGAGTTGATTAATATAATGAGTCGACGGGTTGATTAATACAGCATTCTCCTTAATTCTAAAATAAAATTGGATTTTAAATCACCAATATGCATTCGCAACGGTTTTGCTGCTTAAAAGGAATTAGCCAAGAAGGGCTATTAATTTTGTTTTGGCATTTTGAGTTGATTCACTATAAATGGCGAATAACTTTTTAAATTGTTGCCACCAAATATAAGAGTCCTGTATTATATTTAAAAAAATTAAATAATGAAGAATTTGCATAAGTGTATGCATGTTTCTCACATTGTGATAAAACAACGGTATCTAGAGCCATCAAATTTTGAATAACGTACGTCTCTACCCGAATATGGGCATCTGGAAGCCAAAATTCGGAATTTGTTTTATTATCTATTTCATATTTTGTAAAGCAATTATGAGGTTTTGATTAAGAAACTCAATGATTTCAAAGCGAGCAATGGCAAACCTGTACGAAAAAAGAAACAAACAAACAAACAAACCAAAAAAAAAAAACGTTTAATCTCCAGCGCGCGAGAGTGTGTGGCGGAAATTCTAAAGATGTGCTCTTTTAAAATTATTTTGCGATATTGCTGTTGAATTGAATTTTACGGTAAGCGCGAAAAACATGATATTTAATTAATAAAGGTAATACACAAAACGTTAAAAAATGCCTCTTT